GTGCTGGGTTTTTGTTTAGTGCTTATCCATGTCTATGTAACTACATTTTAAACGTTTCTTTTGTGTCGGATTGAAGCTTTCAAGAGCCTATTAATGTGGGGAAATCTTATTTCCTCTGTCTCACATTTGGTCGGAACGTGCGTGTATTAATAATTATATATATCTTTTCAGCAGTTACAGCAGTTTATTTCTTATCTTTGGTACGTGTAGTTGCTCTGTAGCTCGGATTCAGACTGATATAGCGCATAAGAATAGCTCGGTAAAATCGATCGTGGTTAGCTCGGTTTGTAGATCGAGGATTAGTTAGGTCGGTTGGTGCAGAAGTATAGATGTTCAGATATGTTAATATCTATAGTTCGGTGTATAGGGACACACAGTATATCAATATATGTAGCTCGTCAGATGCTCGGACAATTTGGCACATACAAATAGATTTATAACTCGGATATGGAGGAGCTCAGTATGCAGTAGTGCGGTAAATGACTCCAGTAAGAAGACCAACTTACGTAATAGGTTGAGTCTAAGCTGTCCATTAGGAAGGGGTAAACAATAGTACGGGTAGGAATAAAGCCACGATAACTAACGGGCAAGCCTACGGGTAGCCTAGTAACCGACGGGCAGCCCTCTCTCGCGCAGAGAGGGCAGTAGGGCAGGTGTTTGGGCAGGACAAAAGCTTGTCCAGGAAGCTAATAATCCTCAATAAATAGGTAAAATTAGAAAAAAGATAAAGGTTAATCACTTTTTATACACTCTAAGCTTTCAATACATTTATATACAATTTTTTACATCACCTTACTGACTTGATTGTCGGAGGTTTAACGCCGGGAATATCTCCAAGCGTCTTTGCAGATTTTCGAGGAGAAATTTGGTCGAGAGATTGTGGAGAGTCGGTTCGAGGTGCAATTGCACATCAATTGGCAACTACGGACGACGAGACGTTGAGACGAAATTTTGATGAGAGCTTGGAGGAGGTTTGGGCAGCCAAGACTCCTTTTGGTGTAGGACCACCTCTTCGATGGGCTGGTGGTGAAGGTACAAATTTGTAAACAAATCAAACATTTTTTATTCGATTCGTGATTCGAATTCGATATTCGTGATTCGAATTCGAAATATTCGAATTCGAATTCGAATTCGAATAATGTTTTAGATTCGAAATTATAACGAATTCAAATCCGAATGTGTAGATATTCGATTCGAAATTCGAATATTCGATTCGTTAACAATAATTATATAAATTTTACAAATTATATATAATATACATTTTGTTTATAATATATGTATATATATATATATTGTTATATTCCTAATATTTTTATGACATAAAAATTAAAAACACATAAATTAACAATTTTTTCTAAAAATATATGAAAAATAAAATTTATTTTTGTAATTATAATATTTTTTAATTATAATATTTTTATACAAATTATATATAATATACATTTTGTTTATAATATATGTGTATATATATATATATATATAGTTATATTCCTAATATTTTTATGACATAAAAATAAAAACATCATAAATTAACAAAATTTTCTAAAAATATATGAAAATAAAATTTATTTTTGTAATTATAATATTTTTTAATTATAATATTTTTTTGAAAACGAATTTCGAATCGAATCGAATATGTTCGGATATTCTAAACGAATCGAATACGAATCAAAAAATGAATTCGTTATCGAATCGAATCACAAATCGAATCCTCGAATATTTTAAACGAATCGAATCGAATCTCTGAGTATTCGCTTTGATTCGATTCGTTTACAACCCTAGGTACGATGGTTACCTCTCACATGCCCTTGCAAGGGGCGAAAATTCAAGAATCAAAACGTGTTGAGCTTAAGTGGCAGACTCGCATGCTTCAGGATCATATGTGGCAAAATTACATGCTTCGTTATTAGGCTTGAGTAAATTTTAATTTACTTCCAATCCAAAAATAATTAGGTCCAAATTATCCATAAATATGTGGATTATTTATGATCATGTTACATGAACTGATGCATTTTAATATTATTTTCTTATTATACCCATTGAATTGTAAATGTATTTTAAAAATTAATAACTTTAGTATTTTGTTATCAGTTTTACATATATAATACATCAAATTAATCATCTCTTAATGAGTTTCGATTTAACAATCATAATGTATTTATAAAAAAAATTATATTTATCGTTATAACAACAATAAAATTATTTTTTAATATTAATTAGATTAATAAAACTATTTATCAAAAATATAATTTTATTTCAAGTAGTTATACGATATAAGTTTTAAAAATTACTTTAATATAACACATGTAAGTCGCACAAATAACAAGTGTCATTCTAAAATATATATAATAATATATATATTTTGTAAAAAATAAATAAAATTTAAAATATTTTTGTTTTTTTAACAAGCACTCGTATAATATACGGGTGGTGTACTAGTAATTATTATTTGAATAAAAAAAAGGGAACACAGTGAACATACCAATAAGTTTTAAAAAAACCCACACCGACAACGCCGTCGTACTCTCGTCTCCTACTTCAGTCCCAGAATCAGATCTCTCTCATTCAATTCACATCTACACACATTCATTTGTATCAATCTATCTATCTGTCTATCTATAATTACATATATCCACCCGATATTCAATTGAATGCTGGGAATCTTAGCCAATACCATTTTCACGAACAGCACTGTTGATCGGATTCGTGTTTTCTGAGAAATACGGTGATTAAAGGTTCCTGCGGCGGTGATCGTTTATGGCGGTGGCGGTCCGCGGTCGGGTCGGATCGGGTGGCGGATCCGTATTCCGGAGCTTCTTCAGCTACCGGATCTTTGTGTCAGCCATGTTCACGCTCCTATTCCTTGCTATGAGTTTATTGCTGATGTTATGAGTTTCTTTCATTCTGGCCAAATGTTTCAGTATTGGAACCACACTATCCTCTCTCTGATTCCTAAATGTGCATCTCTTGATTTTGTTTGCAAGTTTAGGCCCATTAGTCTATGCACAGTGGTTTACAAGGTTATTTCTAAAGTTCTTGTCCAAATATTGAAAGTCTGTTTAGATGGTTGTATAAGTGGATATCAATCAACTTTTATTAAAGACAGACAGTTATTAGATAATGTTATAATTGCTCAGGAGGTCTTCCACTACCTGAATAGACATTCTTCCGGGAAGAACTATTTTATGGCACTGAAGCTAGATCTTATGAATGCTTTTGATAGAATTTAGTGGATTAGTATTAAGAAGATCATGATTCAGATGGGCTTTCACAGTGATTTTGTTAAA